CCCCAGCATCCTGCGCAAGGCACTGGACAAGATCGCCGAGATCAAGTCCTTGCTGGAGGAGAGACGCATTGGTAAGCAATACCTACCCCCCCCCGGGACTCCCAGAATCCCCTGAGGCCTGACACGAAGTGGTTGGACAGGGGCATTCTCCCCTGGGGCTACTGGGGGTCTCTGGAGGGTATAGAAGCCTGGAACTCCCAGAATCCCTTGGGACCTGATACCTCCCAGAATCCCCTGGGGTCTGACAAGGGGACACAGACTTCCCAGCATCCCCTGGGACCTCAGCTGTAGGGGTCTCTGGGGGAACTGCCAGAATCCCTTGAGGTTTTGGGGTCTCCAGGGTGGGAGAGGGCCTGGGATATCCAAGAATTCTTTGGGGAGGGACAGGGGATGTGGAGTGGCTGGGCACAGACCTCCCAGAAACCCCTGGGGATATTGTGGGGGTCTCCCAGAAGCCCCTGGTACATAGGTCTCTCCACCGGCCCTGTTTCCCACAGTCCTGTGCAACATGGATGTCCAGGGACGGGGAGGACCCAGAAACCTCACTCTTTTTTTTTGCCCTCCCCACAACAGCGGCGAAGATCGCGGGACTCTACAACGACTCAGAGCCGCCACGTAAGACCATGCGCCGGGGGGTCCTCATGACCCTCCTCCAGCAATCGGCCATGACACTGCCTCTCTGGATTGGAAAGCCTGGCGAGAAGTGAGCCCCCCACCTCCTGTTGCTTCCCCCCACCCTGGGGGGCGGGGTTCATAGCCCTCCCCCACACCCCTAACTGCCCCCTGCTTGCAGGCCCCCACCTTTGTGCGGCGCCATCCCAGCTGCCAGTGACTACGTAGCCAAGCCCGGCGACAAGGTGGCCGCCCGGGTCAAAGCTGTGGACGGGGATGAGCAGTGGATCCTGGCAGAGGTTGTTAGTTACAGCCACGCCACCAACAAGTGAGTGGAGGGGAGTCCAAGATGTCCACCATGGGGTGGGACTCGCCAGCCTGGCTGCCAGGATGGCGAGGGAGGGGGGTTGGAGGGCTTCCAATATGGTTGCCAGGTCCAGGGCCCATCCAATATGGGCACCAGGGTGAAGGAGGAGGGATTGGAAGACTTCTAATATGGCTGCCAGGGTGATGGCTCCTTCAAGATGGTCACTCTAGGCAGCCATGGGGGGTGGGGCGGGGGGAGGGATGACACTATGATACTGGGTGTCCTAGGGGCCACTCTAGCCAGCCAAGAAGGAATGGCATCTCTGTTACCTCACTAGGTGGTTCCTCTAGCTGGGCAAAACGGTGACTCTATGGTGCTGGACCCCCCCCCCGGGGGCCCCTCTAGCCATCCAGGAGGGCAATTCTATGGTCCCCCAATTACCTCGGGCCCACTAGCCAGCCAAGATGGTGATTCTCTGGTGCTGGAACACCCACCCCCGGGTCCACTCTAGCTAGCTAGAGGGAAGTCTCTGTGGCCCCTGCACCCCGAAGGGGCATTCTAGACAGTCAATGTGGGGGCAGCTCTGACCCTGGCGCTTTAGGAGTCCGCTGTAGCAGGGCTCTCTCTATGACCCCAGTTTTCTAGGAGGCCAGTCTAGGCAGCTAAGGTGGGTGACTCTATGGTACTATGGTCCTCCCAGGGGCCACTCTAGGCAGTCAAGAAGGGCTGAGACTCCAGGGACGCATTCTAGCCAGCCAAAAGGGCTGTCTCTATGCTAGCACTTCCAGGGGACCACTCCCCAGTTAAGGTGGATGATTATGGTAATAGGACCTGCCCCCCCCGGGCCACTAGCCAGCTAAGGAGGCTGTGTCTATGGTTCTGGGTCCTCAACAGCCCGCTGCAGCCAGCCAGAAGGGCTGTCCTTATAGCCCTGGCATGCCAGGAGGCCACTCTAGCCAGTTAAGATGGCTGACTATGGTATTAGAACCCCCAGGGGCCACTCTAGGCAGACAAGGAGGCTGGCTCTGTGGTGCTAGGTTACCCAGGGGTCCATTCTAACTAGCCAGAAAGGCTGTCTCTGTGACCCTGGCCCTTTGGAGGGGGGGCCTTTAGCCAGCTAAAGAAGGCAACTCTATGGTTCTCCTTGTCCACAGGTATGAGGTGGATGACATTGATGAAGAAGGAAAGGAGTAAGTGACTCCCCCAAAAGTGGGGAGGGGCGGGGGCAGGGCCTACCTTGGCCTGACCCTGCCCCCTTTTGCCCGCCCTGCCCCGTCCCCACAGACGTCACACGCTGAGCCGACGACGCATCATCCCGCTGCCGCAGTGGAAGGCCAATCCGGAGACGGACCCTGAGGCCCTATTCCAGAAGGACCAGCTGGTGCTGGCGCTCTACCCCCAGACCACGTGCTTCTACCGTGCCCTGATCCACGGGCCCCCAACCCGGGTAGGTACCCCCCATCCCAGGGACTGCCCATTAGGTTGGCCGGAGGAGCTGTGGCAAAATGGCTGCCCTGTTGGCACTAAAGAGCCATGTTGGACCCATCCAAAAAAGCGGTCAAAGGAGCTGAGCCAAGATGCCTACCCTGGCAGCCCTTGGTGGCCACGTTGGACTCCAAGACACCGAGCCAAGATGGCTGCTATGTTGGCATGTGGCAGCCATGTTAGACCCACCCAAGGTGTTGGCTGGAGGAGCTGAGCCAAGATGGCCACCGTGGTGGCCACACTGGACTCAACCAAAGCTACCGCCAGTGGAGGTGACCAGAGATGGCCACCCAGTTGGTGCTCGCCAGCACTGTTGGATATATTCAGCATGACTGCCACGTTGGATGACCCCATACAGTGGCGAGGAGATGACCCAAGATGGCTGCCCAGTTGGCACGAGGCGGCCATGATGGATTCAAGATGGATCCATCAGGACATTATGGCCATACTGGACCCAACCAAGCTGACAGCCATCTTGGCCACCAGGGACAGCTATCTTGGCTGCGCATCTCTGTCTGCCATCTTGCAGGGAGCTCCACTGGATCCATACAAGTGGTAGCCATTTTGGATTCAGTCTGGCGGCCATATTGGCTGTGCATCTTTGGTCACAATCTCGGGGTGGGGTTGGGGGAGAGAAGCTGCGCTGGGTCTATACATGTCAGCCGTGTTGGAGTCCCCCTGGTGGCCATTTTGCCCCATCAGGGCAGCCATCATGACTGGGTACCTCTGGTCGCCATCTTGGATGGAGCTGACTGGTTCCACACTGGTGGGTGCCTTGCTGGATTCACCCTGGCGGCCATCTTCACAGG